CAGTCCACCAATGTTTCAGTCCACCAATGTTTCAGTCCACCAATGTTTCAGTCCACCAATGTTTCAGTCCCCACAGGTAGAGAGTCATCAACACGGTGTAGGTACCTGTGGGCGTCCATCACCTGAGCAGGTAAAGGCGTTCCATGTCTCTCGAGGAACACGTTGGGGAAACATTAGAGCCCTGAGGTGCCCGTGTGTCCGTGTGTCCGTGTCGTGTGTGTGTGTGTGTGTGTCTCATGTACGGCCCTGAGCATGTGTCTTCCTTAGCGCCAGTGTTTATCTCTCACTGTTGTCTCTGTCTCTCTTTCTCTCCATGAAGATAAACTAATCCCCAGCTTCATCAGTATTACTACCACACACACACACACACACACACACGTCCCCTCCTCCCACTGACCCACTTCACTGTGTGTTTATGAAATGACGGGTTTAGCGATATGTTCCTATCTCGCTCACCCAGCCTATACATCCGTGTGTGTGTTTGTATAGTATAGGATTTAGGTCATAGGTCTATATCCTTATCCTATTCCCCACCTTATATATGATCCTGTAGTGAAGGATATATGGATATAAATACCTACAGTATATACGTATATTGTGAGTTTCTACAGTGATCAATAAGTCCCTGTGCACCTATGATAATAAGCAATATAGTTCTTTCTTGTTTTATCTAAGTTGTTATATTCTATTTTCTTCTTTTAATACATTTAGAAAATCGTATCCATTTCTAATATATAATATGATAATTTCCAATATTTCTTTTAAGTAGAAGTAAGTATATAATAATGCAGGTAAAACAAGGAACAGTTATATTATTAATGATGTCAACTGCACAAGGACTTTTCGATCACCTGAAGGTAGCGATTTGTATGGTGTGTAAATATGAGCTCTCATGGCCAGGTCGTCACTCACACCTACTGAGAATGGCAGGAGTTGAGAAGGGGGAGAAAACTGACTATTTTTCATGGGTTTTATGGCATTAATTGACTCACATTAGCACACTTAATCAATTAACCTTCAATTAGAGCTGACAGTGAGTGTGAGGACGTATGAAGGGAAGAAAATTAGTATTATTGATGAGTATTACGATATTTACTCAGTCATATACTCAAAGCCATTAAATAATTATACCATATCATGAAATAATCGATGGCATCACCTCGGAGCCTGAAAACCCTTCTCACTCCCGACCAGGTGAGCGAGAGTAGCCAATTAATGTTTTATTGAGGCAGTATTGAAGGGACTTGGGTGGGGGGGGGCAGGGCCGAACACAAAATGACAGGAAACAAGGAGCAACACCTGTGGCTATGATCCAAATATTTTTAACCTTTCAAAAACATAACAAAACAATGAAAAACAACGTAAGATTTACAGAGATTTTTTTTATTTGTTTCGTGAAATAAAATAATAAATGTTTTAAAAGTATTTGTGAATATAACTAAAAGCTGTATATTTTAATCTTAATATAAAGGAATAACATACCATTAAAAATATGTAAGAATTTCTATACATATAATTCAATATAAAAAACGAGTCTCCCAACAACAACAGCTAGGGAATCGCAGAGAGAGAGAGAGAGAGAGAGAGAGAGAGAGAGAGGTCAACTCCGCAGGGGTATGAGCTAATATCCCTCTACCCAGTGAGTATTACACCAGAAAGTTACCCAACTAACTTCATTTGGTGGTGGTGGTGGTGGTGGTGGTGCGGGGAGGGAAGTGTAGTTGTCATGATGGTGATAATTGTAGTTGTAGTGATGGTGATTGTAATAGTGATGGTGATTGTGATTATACTCATTGTGGTGATGATGATGATGATGATGATGATGATGATGATGATGGTAGTGATAATGGAATTATTCAAGGTTAAATAACGTATTACTACCCTACCCCCCAAAAAAATCGTCGCTTTATTTAGAATGTGTTACATTTTGACAGACATACGGAGATACTGAGACAACACCAAGAGCGAGACAATGACCTCTTGACCTTTCACGGCGAAAATGGAGGCTTTGTTGTCATAAATAGGAGGTGAAATAGGCATGCCATTTTAAGAATAAGAGAGAGAGAGAGAGAGAGAGAGACTACTTTTAATCATCTACCTTGCCCCCTACGGCCCTTCACACACACACACACACACACATCCCCCTCACCACACACACACACACACTGATGAACAAACATAGCCAAATTACACAAACACTCATATGTGGAAGTGTTGCGCGCGCCTATGTAGCAACACACCACGTCAGCTCCCCTCGTGTCAAGATATATTTAGAGTGGTAAATTGCTTTGATCTGCTAACCGATATAAAGAGAGTCTGGCTCCTGTTATGTGATACCAAGTACCTGTTAGTGGGGGGTTGAAGGGAGGTTGTGGGACGGTAGGAGAAGTGTAGAGAGGAAAGGGAAAGCAAGAGAGAAGGGAGGAGTGAGGGGTGAGAAGTAGAATGGGAATGGAGGAAGGATCTCAAATGTCCAAACATGTAAACTAACACAAGTAAATAAAAAAATAGAGTAATGGAGGTGAATCACTGTGTTCAGCTGGACGTGGATAAAAAAAAAACTTTCCTCACAGCTAAAACATCCATTAATTTAGATCAGGATAGGAGGGATTTAACACACATGTGCAAGAGCCATGGACCAAATAATACCTCTGCTGCAATGTGTGTGTGTGTGTGTGTGTGTGTGTGTGTGTGTGTGTGTGTGTGTGTGTCCCAGGGCACTCTGGACACGCCATCCATCACTCACTATCGCAGCAACAAACTAGACAAGTGCTTGGGTTTCCTCCTCCTCCTCCTCCTCCTCCTCCTCCTCCTCCTTCCTTCCTTCCCTTCCTTCCTTCCTTCCTTCCTTCCTTCTCCTCCATCCCCTTCTCATCCTTCTTCTTCTCCCCCTCCTCCTCCTTTTTTCACTCTCCCTCCTCCTTCCTTCCATCTCCTCCTCCTCCATCTCCTTCTCCTCCTCATCTTTTATGTAAGCGTGTTTCCTTGTTGCCTTCAGCTAGTGGGGTCTAGACGACACAGCACCACAATATACGGGACATAAAGGTGTATTGGCCTGTATAATCAATGTGGTGCCTTTATTATTATTATTATTATTATTATTATTATTATTATTATTATTATTATTTTTCCTCCTCTTCCTAATAATAATAATAATAATAATAATAATAATAATAAACATACAATAAAATAAGAAGAGTATTATACTGTGAGGAAATACAGTATTACAGTACCTAAATTACGCTAAAATATTACAGTGGTAGAATAAACAGAGGTGGAAATTACAGCAAAACTTACAGGTAGAGGCGAGGCTAAATATACCTGAGGCAAAAAAACACTTTTGAAATATTATCAGCTTAAGAGACAACAAGAAGAGAGTGAGACCAAGATCAGGTTAATATGACTGACAAGATCCAAACCGAGGCACTCAGCACGAGGCACTAACAGACACGGGGAGGGTTTGGTGGCTCTCATGAGTTGTAAATAAAGTCAGGGTACCACTTGAAGCTAATAATGTGTGGTGTTGGGATAATGATAGAGTGAGACCAGTGGGCGTCATGCTGGCTGAAATAGGAGCTAGCACTTCTAAGCATTCATTATTTATAAATAATATATATTATTATTTACACACCCATTCATAGCGCCCAAAATAGAATTACTCACACACAGACACATTACACACAGAGCAAGCAAGCAGCTCAATAACCTCTCCTCGTACACCACTATATTGATAATAGACACCATCCGTCACAACAACACACCATTATGCTCAGACAATACCGACAACACAACTGTGCTACTCCCTCCTGGGGATTTGTACACACACACACACACACACACACACAAACACACACACACACACACACACATCTCAGGAAAACTAGGATTAAAATTGTTGACTATATATCCATCTCACCAACGCTATTGTGGTTTTGTGTAAATATTGAAAACAAAATTATTCTTTTATTTTTTTTGATGTTTAAAAAAAAAATCATTGCAGTGAGTCAGACATTTCAATATTATTTTGTTATTCCTGTGAAAGTAAAAAAAAAACAGAGGGTTTAACATGCAGGGTTTTATTCAGAGCTTTAAAATGCTTGGGTGTGTGGTGGTGCTGTTTCCATGTGAGGGATATAGGTGTATAATTACCTCTACCTGGTAAGAATACTTGAACTTTTACATCATGGTAGACAGGTAGACACAGCAAACAAACTCCAGGTAGACAAACAGTAAACAAACACCAGGTAGACAAACTCCAGGTAGACAAACAGTAAACAAACACCAGGTAGACAAACTCCAAGTAGACAAACAGTAAACAAACTTCAGGTAGACAAACAGTAAAAAACTCCACATAGACAAACAGTAAACAAACTCCAGGTAGACAAACTCCAGGTAGACAAATACCAGGTAGACAAACTCCAAGTAGACAAACAATAACAAAGTTCAGGTAGACAAACAGTAAACAAACTTCAGGTAGACAAACAGTAAAGAAACTCCAGGTAGACAAACAGTAAACAAACACAACAGAAAAACAGAAAAACAACTATTGAGTACACAAAAAAAATCACACTAAAATGAGATTTCGAACGAACACACACACACACACACACACACACACACACACACACACACACACACACACACACACACACAACATTACAGAGAAACAGGAACGTATATATGAAACAATGAAAGAAGAAGAATGAAGTCCGTGATACTTACTGCAGAATGAAAGAATGAAGGCAGGAACACACATTAATGAGAGAGTAAACATATATTAGGAATGAAAGCAATAACACCTATGAAAGAATGAATGAAGAATGAAAGCAGTAACACATTAACACTGAATAATGAAAGTATTAATACATATGAAGGAATGAAGGAAGAATGAAAGCAGTTACACATACACTAAGAATGATGGTAGTAACACATATTAGGAATGAAAGCAATAACACCTATGAAAGATTGAATGAAGAATGAAAGCAGGAACATCAGCTTACCACATTTTGACTCTTGTTCTCCTCGGAGACAGGAGACGCATGGCTCCTGTCCTCCTCTTGTAAAAAGCCATCCACACTAAATGTCTTGACTATGTAAGCTGGAA